GAGGGATTCTGTTTCTTGGAATACGATTATAGCTGGGTGTGCAAAAGGAGATTATTGTGAGGAGGCTATTGAATTGTTTGATTTTATGGTGGATTTAGAGATTAGGCCTGATAACGTTGCATTGGTCTCAACGCTTTCTGCTTGTGCACAGCTAGGAGAACTTGAAAAGGGAAAGAAAATTCATGATTATATTGAAAGGAACGCGATGAAAGTGGATACCTTTTTGTCAACTGGGTTGGTTGATTTCTATGCGAAATGCGGGTGCGTTGACGTTGCTTTAAAGATATTTGACTCGAGTTCAGACAAAAATCTGTTTACTTGGAATGCAATGCTTGTTGGCCTTGCAATGCATGGGTATGGTGAGTTATTGTTGGAGTACTTCTCGCGAATGATAGAGGCTGGGGTAAAACCAGATGGGATTAGCATTTTAGGAGTTTTGGTAGGGTGCAGTCATAGTGGTCTCGTAGATGAAGCAAGGAAGCTTTTTGATGAGATGGAATCTGTTTATGGAGTCCCTCGAGAGCCAAAGCATTACGGGTGTATGGCTGATTTGCTTGGGCGGGCTGGGTTGATTAAAAAAGTGATGGAAATGATAAAGGATATGCGCAGAGGAGATGATATGTCTGTGTGGAGTGGTTTGCTGGGAGGATGTCGAATTCACGTGGATGTTGAGATTGCAGAGAAAGCAGCGAAGCACTTGATGGAGTTGAAACCCGATGATGGTGGGGTTTATTCAATTTTGGCTAATGTTTATGCTAATGCAGAACGATGGGAAGATGTAATGAATATCAGGAGATCATTGAGCAGTAATAGGGTGGTAACGAAGATTGCTGGTTTTAGCTTGATTCAATTGGATGGCGTTGCACGTGAGTTTATCGCAGGGGATAGATTGCATTCTGAAAGTGATAAGATATATTTGGTTTTAAATGGAATAAGAGAACATCAAAGTGAACTGAGCTAGATGCCTGAACTTTCAGAATTCGAACACGTACTTGCAACATCTGCATTAGCTGTTTTGGAAGGGAATTTTATATCTGCAAAAATGACCATCAGCTTGTGATACACGGAGACAGCTGGCTGTTAAGCTAGAAATTCTTGAATGGGAACAAATATGTGGGTGCTCTTACAATTGGATGACTTTTCTAATCAAAACATACATATGCAATTATCGGTGGCGTTACCCGGGACAGTCACCCTGTAAAAGAAAGACAACTGTAGTGGAAATGCAAGTTGCGAACTTTCAAACTTCTTCCATCAACAGTGGAAAGCCAATTTTTTCAAGACATTAGCTACTGTCCAAGCAACCACTTATCTCAATGCCAACTGACCACACATCATATAAGGCAACCAATCCTGTGGCAAGAATGGGTATATATTGTGCGGCATAGCAGAGAAGGCAATCTGAAGTATGAATATGATTTCATGCCTGCTTGATATGTTCAATTACTAAAGAAAATAAAGAGCTTCAGAGCTTCCCTCCGGAAACTTGCCAAGTTGCCATAGCGCGTTGCTCATCTTCAGGTAGCCATAGCGCCTTGCTCTTTTTCACTCTGGAGTTTTCCATCTATTCTCCCTTTCCGTCTCAACTAGTCTTCAAATCATGTAATATTTATAGTGCTTTCTGTTTTTTCTTATCAGAATGCAAGCTCAACCTACTAGCAATGCTGCTCCTTACAAAGGGATGTCCGATGTATTTTGGAGGACATTTCAGAATGAAGGTTATAATGGCTTTTACAAGGAATTTTTCCAAATCTTCGAAGGTTGTGCCAGCAGTAAGCATAACATATATGGTTTACGAGGCTATGAAAAAGAGCCTAGATCTTGATTAGGGATTGCAACTGTCATACACTCTGGCATCTAAATTGATGCCAGATCTGGAATAATGTTTATGGTTTTTCAATGGTTTTTTGATAAGGAAAATTAAGAATAAGATTACTTGTCAAGTAGGTGATACAATTTTCTGAATTATACAATAGGCAGTAATCCCCTGCAGGATTGGGGGCTCATACTTTTGTCACTTGGGCTTAACAATTGGTTGAGGTTATGCTAGAGGATTGGGGGTTCAGCTGTTTACTACAGATTTTGAAGCATGATGTTAACTGAATTAATTTTGTTTAATTTTATCCTGATTAATTTTTTTCTAGGGTTTGGATGACAAAAAATGGGTCCTTTTCTCTTTCTTTCCTTTTTTTTTTGGTGATTTCAGCCAAGTTCTAAGGTTGCATTTTTTAGATTCTTACATGTCCTGGAAAATAGACTTGACCTCTATAATTAATTGGAGTCATGTTGCAATCATATGTTAGCCTGAGTTAAACTGTTTTTTAATTAGTTTGGTGGCTTCTAGATGTCTGCTATAGTTATTTGAGGGAAATATATGGAAGCAATCAAGAAGCTTTATGTGTGGATTTTCTTTTGAAGATTGTAGTTGCTATATGGTATGTTTGCAGGGCACGAAGTGATTAAGAATTGGGATATAAGTCAGGAAATGTTGTATATGTTTGCTTTAAACTTGCAAAGGCACAAACCTGTGGTTCTTTGGAGTGGAGAGATGTCTTTGGTGGCACTTTACTTAATTTTTGTATGAGTTTGACATTCGGCTACTCTTATAATCCACAGGACATGAAGGGGAAGCTGACAGACACTCGTACCAAAATCATTGTTGACTCAACACCTCCTTAAAGATCAACTCACAGTGAGTTGATGAATTTCAGCTATAAGAATTTGTTAAAAATTCATGTTTTGGATTTTAAGAATAGAAAAACAGTATATCAGTGCTTTGAAAAGACTATTGATGATTGGATGCAATCTAAAAAAACATAAAATACATAATGTCATAAATTTTCATCATTGAAGATATCTAGATGTATTCGATATATATATATATATATATATATATATATCTCAAGATTATAGAATAATAATTAAAAAAAGAGTGTCATTTATCCATGATTTACATATATATATAATGGATGTTGCACAAAAGTATTTGATAAAAGTAACATTTTGTTTCTTGACGGTGATGTAAAGTTATAGAAGATTGATTTTCAACCTACGGCTACTTGAGAAGCAAAAGACATAGATTACCGGCTTTTGGGGAGACTTGTTTTTGAACTTTTGGATGGTAAAACTAAATCACTGTCAAGTGATATCTTACACATTCTAAACACTTGCAAGCATGGAGGACATATTTGTCAAACCCATGTTATTTTAGATTTTCTAAACACTTGCAAGGAATGCAAATTTGTGTTTTAGCAATTACATATGAGAAGAAATAAACCAAACAAGAATTATATTTATTGCTCCTGATATACAAACAAAGAAAAATAGGAGGATGCTTAGACTTTGCCAAATGGAATGATTCTTAATAGGGTAACCAAAGCAAAATTTATTGTTGATATCCTGTTTTCCTCATGAGGATCATGGATTTTTCAAGAATTTCATTCGTGAGATTTCTGAGAACAATGACCTAGATACCACCTTTCACATGTTTTCAAACCCCTGTTTTTTTTCTCCGAGGATAAAATAGCTAATATTCACAACCCAACCCAAGTATTATCGTAGCGAGAACTAAAAAATCCAAACTTGAATATAATTGCTGAGCTGTATGAAAAATAAGTCTATCTAGATAGAATATTCAAAAATATTTCTCCTCAAATAGTGATGATCAATAAGATATCTTGCAATATCAATCAAGTTATGAATATTGCTTCCATTTATTTATTTTACACTACTTTGCATGAATTCAAAATAGATATTACTGAAGTTCAAAGAATTATCTTTTGAGATAAAATAATAGATTTGTAAAGAAATTAAACCTAGTGTTGAAATTTCTTGTTTAAAATTGTAAAGGGATATGCAATACTCAGCATATCTAGCTGGTCATTGTGTTTTTAAGTGTATTATCAAACTTCTTAAGAATACAATAAAAATGAATAAGAGATTCAAGGACCTTTTAGTGAAAAAAATGATACGCATCCTCACTTATTTGTAAGATACAACCATTGTTGTTATGGGATTATCTTGTAAACAGAATACAAGTAATATTCGAGATTCCTCAATACTCTACATTTGTGAGAAATTGGTGGTGGAAGATGCAAATGTTCGAATTTATGATCTTGAAGTGTCTCATCAAGTGATTAGAAAATATTTTTGACTAAGTTTGAGAACAAGTATTCGAGTTATACAACATTCTAATAAAAACACTCTCTCTCTACAAAAATGAGAGGAGTTCAATCATATTGATTTTGATGACATGTATGAAGATATAATAAAAGTCTGTGTATATTTTTTTATGCATGGAATTGCAATCTTGATTATGATGAAATGAGAGATATGAGATTTAGAATTCATTTTATAATAAGGTTGAATTAACAAACATTAAAAAGGCTAATTAATCTGTTGGTAATTAAGAGTGATTGGTGCATGTTATGGTCTCTTTTATTTTCCAACTCAATTTCTCTAGTGTTACTTTTGTAATCAAATTCATTTTAATAAAACATTACTTTCAATTCCAGGTTATGTTAGTTTTTAATTTTATTTTTATAATACAGAATATTGATCTTTGGTGCTGTCTTGTTAGATAAATATCATTTCAAGCTACTCTTTAACCCTGTTCTTGTTATTTTATTATTTTTCTCTACAACATCATTTCATTTCAGTTTTGGGATACTTGCTTTATCATTAAATGATTGCAATAAGTACAGTTTCTTATTGCACCGCATACAACAGGAAATTCAAGCCTATATCTTTTGTGTAATGACTTATAATAAACTTGTCATCAACATTTTATGTTGCATGCAGTACATTGAGAAACTATACTTCCTGCAATTATATAATAATTAGGCAAGTGTTCAAACACTAAAATTAGATGATGTTATAAAGCAAAAAAATGAAATAGCAAGAACAAAGTTGAAGGGTAGCTTGAAATGATATTTGTTTAACAACGTAATGCAAATGATTATTGTTCCGCATTATAAAAATAAAATTAAAATCTAACATAATCTAAAATTGAAAATAATGTTTTATTAAAATGAATTTAACTATAAAAGTAACATAAGAGAAGCTGAGTGGGAAAATAAAAGATCACAATATGCACCAAACTCTTTTAAAATGAATTTTAAACTTCATATCTCTTATTTCACCATAATTAAGATTGCATTTTCATGCATAAAAAATATATGCAAACTTTACCATACCTTCATATACATCATGAAAATCATTGTGATTGAATTCTTCCCATCTTTGTAAAAGGAGAATTGAACGTGATCGACAAAGAGTTTTTATATTAGGTTGTTATATAACTCGAATATTTGTTTTCAAACCTGGTTTAAAATATTTTTTAATCACTTGATGAGTTAATTTAAGATTATAAATTTGAACCCTTGAACTTTCCACCGTCAATTTCTCACAAATGTAGAGTACTGAAAAATCTCGGATATTACTTGTATTAAAGTTATAAGAGAATCCTATAAAAACAATGATTGTATCTTGTAAATAAGTGAAGCTACTTATCATTTTTCACTACGAGTTCCTTGAATCTCTTATTTGTCTTTATGGAATTCTTAAAAAGTTTGCTATGACACTCAAAGGCACCATTAGTGGCTAGATATGTTGAGCATTGAACATCCCTTTAATTTCTTTATAAATCTATTCTTCTATCTCGAGAAATAATTATTTAAACTTTAGTAATATTTACTTTGAATTCATGCAAAGTAGTGTAAAAAAATAAATGAAAGTAATATTCATAACTTCAATGACATTGTAAGATATCTTATTGATCATTGTTGTTTTAGGAGAAATATTTCTAAATATTCTACCTAGATAGACTTATTTTTTATACAGCTCAGCAATTATATTCGAGTTTTGATTTTTTAGTTCTTGCTAAGATAATAACTTGTGCTGGGTTGTGAAGATTAACTATTTTTATCCTCGGAGAAAAGAAACAGGGGTTTGAAAAAGTGTGAAGGGTAGTAGCTAGGTCATTGTTCTCAGAACTCTCATGAATGAAATTCTTGGAAAATTCATGATCCTCGAAAGGAAAACAGGACATATGAATAATAAATTTTGCTTTGGTTACCCTATTAAGAATCATTATATTTGGCCAAGTCTAAGCATCATCCCATTTCTCTTTTTTTGTATATCAAGAGCGACAAATATAATTCTTGTTTGGTTTATTTCTTCTCATATATAATTGCTAAAACACAAATTTACATCCATTGCAAGTGTTAAGAAAGTCAAAGATAACATGAGTTTGACAAACATGTCCTCCATGCTTGCAAGTGTTTAGAATATGTAAGATATCACTCGGCAGTGATTTAGTTTTACCATCCAAAAGTTAAAAAACAAGTCCCCCTAAAAACTGATAATCTATGTCCTTTGCTTTCCTAGTAGCCGTTTCAATCAATCTTCCACAACTTTACATCACCATTAAGAAACACAATGTTGTTTTTATCAAATATTTTTGTACAATATCCACTATATCTATGTGAATCATGGATAAATGACACCATTCCTTTAATTATTGTTTTATAATCTTAAGGGATATATAGGTTGAATATATATAAATATCTTCAATGATGAAAATTTATGACATTATGTATGCACCCAATCATCAAGTGTCTTTTCAAAGTATTGATATACTGTTTTTCTACTCTTAAAATTCAAAACGTGCATCCTTAACAAATTCTTATAGGTGAAATTTATCAACTCACTGTGAGTTAATTTCTGAATAAGTATTGGGTCAACAATGATTTGGGTAAGAGTATCTATCAGCTTTCCCTTCGTGTCATTTGGATTATAAGAGTAACTGAATGTTGGGTTTTAACACTTTTGATTCATGCTTATATGAAAACACAAATTATAAAAGTTAGATAGTGTATGTGTTGGAAAAGAATGTATGTCCTCTGTTGTGACTGTGGTGTCACA